AATTCCACCCAAAATTCCCAAATTTCACCCAAAATTCCCAAATTCCACCCAAATATTCCCGAATTTCACCCAAATATTCCCAAATTCCACCCGAAATTCCCAAATTTCCGCCCGCATTTCACCCCAAAAATTCCCAAATCCCACCCAAAACTCCCGGAATTTTCGGGAATTGGGTGTAATCAGGTGTAATTAACGGTGTGTAATTAATGGTGTGTAATTAATTAATGAACGGTGTGTAATTAATTAATGAACGGTGTGTAATTAATGAACGGTGTGTAATTAGTGAACGGTGTGTAATTAACGAACGGTGAGTAATTAATGAACGGTGTGTAATTAATGAACGGTGTGTAATTAATGAACGGTGTGTAATTAATGAACGGTGTGTAATTAACGGTGTGTAATTAACGAACGGTGAGTAATTAATGAACGGTGTGTAATTAACGAACGGTGAGTAATTAATGAACGGTGTGTAATTAATGAACGGTGAGTAATTAATGAATGGTGTGTAATTAATGAATGAACGGTGTGTAATTAATGAATTTGGTGTGTAATTAATGAATGAACGGTGTGTAATTAATGAATTTGGTGTGTAATTAATGAACGGTGTGTAATTAATTAATGAACGGTGTGTAATTAATTAACGGTGAGTAATTAATTAATGAACGGTGTGTAATTAATGAATGAACGGTGTGTAATTAATGAATTAGGTGTGTAATTAATTAATGAATTAGGTGTGTAATTAATGAATTAATGAATTAGGTGTGTAATTAATTAATGAATTAGGTGTGTAATTAATTAATGAATTAGGTGTGTAATTAATTAATGAATTAGGTGTGTAATTAATGAATTAATGAATTAGGTGTGTAATTAATTAATGAATTTGGTGTGTAATTAATTAATGAATTTGGTGTGTAATTAATTAATGAATTAGGTATGTAATTAATTAATGAATTAGGTGTGTAATTAATGAATTAATGAATTAGGTGTGTAATTAATGAATTTGGTGTGTAATTAATGAATTAGGTGTGTAATTAATTAATGAATTAGGTGTGTAATTAATGAATTAGGTGTGTAATTAATGAATTAATGAACTGGGTGTGTAATTAATGAATTAGGTGTGTAATTAATGAATTAATGAATTAATTAACGGTGTGTTTGTACCTCGAGGCACCAGGTGAGGGCCAGCAGCCGCTCGTGCTGGGCCGAGGGGAGCCCCGAGCTCAGAGACCNCCCAAAAAATCACAAAATTCACCCAAAATTCATCCAAAATCGACCCCAAAATGTCATGAAATTCACCCAAAATCATCCCAAAATCCTCCCAAAATTCACCCAAAATCCTCCAAAAAAATCACAAAATTCACCCAAAATTCACCCAAAATCCACCCAAAAATCGACCCCAAAATGTCACAGAATCCTCCCAAAATCCTCCCAAAAAAATCACAAAATTCACCCAAAATCCTCCCAAAATTCACCCAAAAAATGTCACAAAATTCACCCAAAAATCGACCCAAAAATGTCACAGAATCCTCACAAAATCCACCCAAAATCCTCCCAAAAAATCACAAAATCCTCCCAAAATTCACCCAAAAAATGTCACAAAATTCACCCAAAAATGTCACAGAATCCTCACAAAATTCATCCCAAATTCATCCCAAAATTCACCCAAAATGCTCCCAAAAATGTCATAAAAATCATCCAAAAATCACCCCAAATTCATCCCAAAATCCACCCAAAATTCATCCCAAAAATCCCCAAAAAATCCCCAAAAAATCCCCAAAAAATCCCCGACCCCCCGAGACCCCCCCAAATTCCCAAAATTCCCCCAAATCCCCAAAAAATCCCTCAAAAATCCCCCCAAAATAAAAAATAAATCCCAATAAAATCCCGAAAAAATCCCCCAAAAAGTCAAAAATAAATCCCCAAAAATCCCCCAAAAAATCCCAAAAAATCCCCAAAAATTCCCCGACCCCCCGAGACCCCCCCAGAATTCCCAAAATTCCTCAAAATTTCTTAAAAATCCCAAAAAAACCCCAAAAATCCCTTAAAAATCCACCCAAAATCCCCAAAAAATCCCCTAAAAAATCCCCCAAAATCCCAAAAAAAATCCCAAAAAATCCCCAAAAATTCCCCGACCCCCCGAGACCCCCCCAGAATTCCCAAAATTCCCAAAATTTCTTTAAAATCCCCCAAAAAACTCCCAAAAATCCCTTAAAAATCCACCCAAAATCCCCAAAAAATCCCCCAAAAAATCCCAAAAAATCCCCAAAAAATCCCCAAAAAATCCCCAAAAATTCCCCG